TGGCTGCTCCTCAGCTCTAGAGATTATTGTCATACAAGCCTGGGGGCCCACTGAAGCCAGATCTTGTGATTTTTCAAGAAATCCAGAAATCTGGCCCAGTATGAGGTTCAATAGGCCTTACCATGGTTGGTAAGATGGAAGCTCGGTGCCCCAAGTGGGGCCTTCAGGCAGGCGGGTGATACCCACCTGCCCAACGATGCTTGCCCCAAACAGGCCTTCACCCCTTTGGCCCGTCTGTGTTGGGAATGTCCCTCTGGCTGTGATGACTAGACCCCCAAGGCAGAAAGCTCCACCCATCTATCCACTGAAGGCTGCTCAGAAGAAGCCAACTGCTCATCCTCTGTAGGATGCATTTTGTCTGAGTCCAGAAAATCCCCCCAGAAAAACCCTTTCCAATCTGAGACAGGACCTTCCCCTAAAGATGTGACAATTGTTTCCAAATGACTACTCCCTCTGAGCTTCAGAACTCTCACCTTCCTCTTCCATTATGGGTGGCAGCAGTGATGACCACAGGGGCCCAACCTTCAGGTCTCCCCTCAGGGCCTCACCAGAAAAAACGATGAGGCACCTGGCAGCCAGGAACATGTGCAGGATAAGGGACAGATTGCCCCTGACAGCCCCTTCCCACTCTAGGGCCTAGTTATTTCAGCCTCGGGTCTGGAGCCTACCTGTCCCCTGGGAAGCAGGTTGCCAGCTTGCCCGCTTGCCCTGAGCCACGCTGTGCTCCCAGGGCTCAGGCAGGACATGCTTGTCAGCTGCCTTCCTAACTGCCCTCTGCAGACCCACTTCCCTTTCCTCACACCTCACTTTCCTCAGTTTATAGAAATAAGGAGTTTAGCTCAGTAATTTAAAATGTTTTAACAGTGGAATTCTTTAAGGCATCTTATACCAAAATCTAATATTGAAACAAAAATGCTGTTTTTAAATTTTATTATATTTTATTTCAACTTTGTAAAATTTACTTATTAAAAAGGCAGTCTAGTAAGAACTCAGACTGTTTTGATGAACAGGATAGTTGCTGATTTACATCAACCTCTACTTCCAATTTCTTTGCCTTTTTTTGGTTGCAAAGTATGGAGAAAATCAGGAAAATCTTGTTCCCAGAGTTAGTAGTTGAAATAGTTAATTGTTTTTTTAAAACTTGTAACCTCAGGATACTAAAAGGAATAGTAGAATTTGTCGTTGAACCAGTAATGATGCATTAGGAGGAATGATATGTAATTGACAATATCCTCCATTCTGGGTCTACAAAACCACATTTGTATAATTCAGTCACATAATAATAGCTAACATTTATTTGCCGTGTGTCAGGCCCCGTGCTAACTGCTTCCGAAGCATGTCGTTTAATCCACAATTCTGTTGTACAGATAAGGACCTTGAGGTGCAAGGGGGTTGTCCAAGGCTACACAGGTGACCAGAGCTGGGCTTGGGTGGAGCAGGCAAGGCCCACCCTCGCTCAGGCAGCCCTGGGGGCCGGGCCCCTCCCGGCCGGTCCGCCCCACCGCTGCCCGGACGGGCCAGAGAAGAATCCAGCCTCTGTGCCCAGCGGCGCCCGCCAGCCCGGCCCAGGGGCTGTTTGTTTTTTTAACAGGGTTAACCAAACCTCCTGAGCAGCCTCCCCGGCCCAGCAGCAGCCTTGCCGGTGAAAGGGGGCTTTGTGTGACCGCGGCGGAGGGCGAAAGCCCGAGCCAAGGCGGGAACGGTGAGCCAGCCAACCCGCGCAACGCCCCGGCAACCAGTGCCGCCCGCAGGAGCGGGGCCTGTCGGGGGACATCTTCGCTCCCAGCCCTTCCTGCCCACTGCTCGGGCCTTGGTCCTGTCTCCAAGCGGCGAGCTGTGGGCTCCATCCATGTCTGTGCAGTGGAGCGTGTGTGGCCCCGGTCCCTGGGGGGCTGGTGTGGAGTCAAAAGACACGTGCCTACAATGTGATCCCCAATCAGGAGCATCAGCATCAGTAGGGGACCTGTTAAAGATGCCCACTATCAGGCTCCACCCAGGCCTTCGCAATCAGATAATCTGGGGTCAGGGCCTTATCTGAGATTTAACAGGCCCTGTAGGTGGCGATGATGACCACTAAAGTTTGAGACCTACTACTCTTAAGAGGGTGAAAAAATAGAATTAAAAGATAATACCCCCTCACCCCGCCAATAAAATAACAGGAATCTTTCCACGAACTTTTTGAAGTATCCTCGTCTAATCTAATATAGAACTACAAGGAGAGGTCTTCAAAGAGTTCATATGGAGAAAAGACAGATGTTTACAGTAAAACAGTTCATTCTAAAAACAAGTCATTTTGAGGCCAACACACCCATCATACAGAGTCTGGAACTTAATTCAGTGTTCATATTATGAGCTGGCCGAATTTTAGTTGAAGTACACAGAAAATAAACTCTTCCTTTGACTGCTATAAATGGTTTGGGGTTTATATCATGTCATGTGTTCCTCCTTATAGGACAATATTCTCCATACCTTGTTTTATCTCCCTAAAGACATCAGAAATACCTCCAGGTCAAGGATCTTGTTTTTATTCACTTGGATCTGCCCTCTTGTACCATAGAACTCTGTGGAGTTGGGAGCTGCAGGTTTAATACCAGATGATTTACAGTCGGTTGCATTGAATCTCCTTCTATAACTGGTGATGAAAATCCACCAATTTGAGGCTTCTTAGGCACCCCTGAAAATTAAGTAAATGGATGAAGTGGACAGCAGTCTTCAGAGAGAGAAAGAGAGAGTGTGTGTTCTAACTCTGAAGGTGGGAAGAGAGTTCTTGCTGTCATCCCCCTGCAGGCAGGCCTTTTTCTAACTCTTCAGCAACCCCTCCTCCCTGCCCTCCCTAGGCTTTTCTCAACACCCCCCCCCCACTGTTCACTCATTCATATAATCTTTCAATCAACAAATGTTTTTTTGAGTGCCTACTAAATGCTTGGCACCATGGAGACACACAATAAACAGACAGTAATTATAGATTGTAATAAGTGCATAGACAGGATGATATGGTAGGGTGGTCAGGAGGAAGCCTCTTTGAGGAGGTGAGTTTAGGCTAAGAATGGGAGGATGAGCTTGCCAGGTGAAGAGTCAAGGAAGAATGTTCCAGGTAGAGGAAACAGCAAGTGCAAAGGCCCTGAGGCAGGAAAAAGTTTATCAGGGCTGAGGAATTTGAAGAAGGTCACTATGGCTAGAGCCTGGTGCATGATGGAGAGAGGAGAGGAAATGAGGTGGGAAATGCAGGCTGGGCTTGGTCATTTAGACCTTTGAAGACTGCGGTATGGAGTGAGTTATATTCTAAGTGCAATGGGAAGCCATTGGAAGGTTTTAAGCAGATTCCTTGATGACAGTTTGTACTGCAGGATGGAGAATGGACCTTATACTGGGGGGAGACCCAGAGACAGAGGGGCAGACAGTCATTAGAATGAGTGATCAGGAAGTCTAACGATATCAGGAGAGGAGACCCTGGATAGTAGGAGTTGGAAAGGCCCTGTAGGCCAAGGAGAGTTGGGACCCTGAATGGTGGGGCCCTAGAGTACCAGGGGGGAAATGAAACCACAGTACTTCTCCTCGTTGTGGGTCATTTCCCTTCCAGGGGACCACACCAGGGTCCGGGAAGTTTCAGCTTCCTGATTCTGGGGCCTTATGTGATGGAATTTGGAGGAAGAAAGTGTGGGACATAATACTAGTGAGATCTTCTTGCCATGTTTCCGGGTTATCCTCTCACCCCCTCTCTGGGAATGGAGATTTTCTACTCCAGCTCAGAAGCACCTCTTGCACTACTAGCAGGAGAGGGGGTGAATCCCCCCAACCCCAGCCCCTAAACAGACACTCTGCTTCCCACCCCAGAGTCTCCCGGTAGGTATTGAGCTCTTGAAAGGCAGGGCCTCCCCTCTCCCCACCTCCTAGGGCCTTTGTGGGGCAAGTCAGTGGAGTAGAGGACTCTTGCTGAGCAGTAGCAGCTCCCCTGCAGCTGAAGGGTGGGGGGCTGACCGGTGGGAGCAGAGGCTCTTTCCAGCACATGGGGTGAGAGATTTCTCAATTAAAATCCTGCCACATACTCAGGAAGCTCCTGCCTAGAGGGGTAGGCAAGAGCAGCCTGGTGCCACTACCCACAGTCCCTCTTCCCCTCAACTGCCCTGCACCCACCTATCCTATCCATCCAGGACAAGCCCACGATCAAATTGCCATTTATTCAACACCTACTTTGCTAAGAGCTTAACATGGATCATCTCACTCAATTTTTATACACTCTCCTTGGAGGAGGCATATTATCTCTATTTCGCAGATGAACAAAGGTCTACACAGTTCCTGAAATCCAGGCTGTCTGACCGCCAAAGCAGAGCCTGGTTTCTAAACTCCTTCCTGGCATACTGGGCCTGGAACAGGTTAGGGCAAAAAGATATGAATGGATGGATGGATGGATGAAAAACATGAATGAATGGAGGGGCATGTGGGTGCTGGATAAAGGGGACATCAAAGCCAGATTGGGTCCAAGCCTTACCCAGGCATGGCCTCAGCTAGGGTCTCCAGGCTGCGCTCCCAGGGACCAGGCTGAAGGGAGAAAAGGGGATGGGGGAGTCCTGGTCCCCGGGAAGGGTCTGAGGAACGCAAGAAACGTCCCTGATTGGCCCCCAGGACAGGTGCCAAGGCCTGGGCCCTGCCTCTGCCCACGCCTAGCGCCGCAGGCCACAATCCTTAGCAGGCGCTCAACAAAGAATGGGTGAAATTTTGGCTCGCCGCGCTCCTGGCAGTCAGTGGGCGCTCAGGAAAAGTCTGACAAATGGATGACTCTCCACCGACAGTCCACTGGACTTAGGGGGCGGCTCCCAGGGTCGGCCACCCCGCGCCCTGCTAATCTTCTCGGCTCAGGACCTGGCGGCGAGGGGGAACGCCCGGGGCGGGGTCAACTGGGGGCGGAGCCTGCGGGCTAAAGGGGCGGAGCCGGCCGCTCCGGGGTCTGCGGGCAGCTCCGCGAGAGTCAGGGCACCGAAAGTCCAGCGAGCGAGGGCTGGCGCCAGGGCGCGGATGCTGGAAGTTCACATCCCATCGGTGGGGCCCGAGGCCGAGGGGCCCAGGCAGAGCCCAGAGAAATGCCACATGGTGAGCGGGGCATCTGGATGGGGAAGGGCTTAGGGACCTGCTGGATTTCACCGCCCCGAGCGCAATGGGCACCCTGAGCCCCGGGCCCGGGCGTTTGAACGCGGCGGGCCAGGCTGTCGGGGGACACCTGCTAGGGTTTCGGGGACCTCTTGGATTTGCGAGCCCCGCGGACCGCGGTCCGGGCTCGTGAGGGACTGCACGCATCAGAGGGGCGGGTCCACCAGCCCTTTCTCCCAGGTGTGTGGGGAGCGCTGGAGGGTCACCGGGGAGCGGCGGCGCTCGAAGGCCGCTTTGTGCCTCTGAACGCGGGAGGGTGGGAGCGTCACCGGGCGCGGGTCCTGCTGCGTCCTCCCGCGGGGTCTCACGCGCACCCCCGCTGCCCGCCCGCGCCCGCCAGGTGTTCCGAGTGGAGGTGCAGTGCAGCGGGCGCAGACACACCGTGCCAAGGCGCTACAGCGAGTTCCACGCGCTGCACAAGCGGGTGAGGCGGCGCCGACGACCCCCGACCCCAGCCCAAGCCCTGCCCAGTTCCTGGGAGGCCGGCGGGCGAGCTACGGCCCCAGCCTCGGCCACCCGATTACTGCCCCAGCCCCGGAAGGGCGCAGGTCCTGGACAGTCTTGCTGCGGGCTGCGAGGCCCATCCCGGGGAGGGCGCGGGGGGCGCAGATCCCAGCCCGCACTGAACATGGCCCTGCGCAGCCGGCCCGTCCTCGGGCGTCTGGCGGGGAGTTGGCTCTCCCTCGCCCCTGTCCCGACCGCTCACCAGCGTCATTCCCAGGGTAGAGCGTGGAGGGGGACGGGGGACTGGGGAAGGCTCTTGTCTAGGGTGAAGTGCGTTTGAGGGCTCAGTCGGGAATGCTGTGATCGCACCGCGGTAACCTCCGGCAGATCAAGAAACTGTACAAAGTGCCCGACTTCCCCTCGAAACGCCTGCCCAACTGGAGGACCAGAGGACTGGAACAGCGCCGGCAGGGCTTGGAAGCCTATATCCAGGTGTGTGGGGGGAACACTCGGTTGCCCACAGCCTGCTGGACCGGGGGCGTGACCCAGACGGAGAGGTGTGGGATGTTATTCACTACCCCAGGCCTCAATTTTCTGAATAGGAATGGGTCCAAACATCCCTCTCAGGATTGTTGAAAGGATTGAATGAGGTAGCCAGGAGGCAGGTGGCCCCAGCTCAGTGAAAACTAGTTCTCTTCCACTCCAGGGTGAGGTCCTGTGCTGCCCTCATGATGGGCTGTGGGGTGGGGGTCCTTACCCCAACAGTGATGTGGGATACAGCCTGTGCAGTCACACAGGGCTCCGTGCTCAGAAGGGCCCTGAGCTTGGTTTAATGCTCTGCTCTGTCTTGACATTCTTAATTATTCTGGAACAAACGGCCTCGCATTCTTATTTGCACTGGGCTGTGCAAATTAGTAGCCGAGTCTGATTATAGGTTTCCTCTGTCCTCCTCTCCAGGGCATCCTGTACCTGAACCAGGATGTGCCCAAGGAGTTACTGGAATTCCTGAGACTTCGGCACTTCCCCACAGACCCCAAGGCCAGCAGCTGGGGGTAAGGCTGGGGGTGGGGGATGGGGGGGGAGCATTGGGGGACCA